GAGCCTGAGCCGTTTGTCTGATAGAAGCAGAGCTCGGGTACATCCCGGTATCCTCGCTCGACAGGTAGGGTGAATCTCTGGAAGACCTGGAAAAATCAAACCTCCAAGAGCATGTTAGGCCCCCGAGTTTATCTTCAGCAGGCTCTGTTTTCATTCCAGTCTAAGGTTCAGGCTACCTGTGCAGTAAGACTACACACCTTTATAGATTTACTGGCAAGGAGTTCGAAAGTATCATCCTGACGTCACGCTTTACCTGAGACTCACCTGCCTGCTGGTCTTTGCGACGTCAGGGCAATGACCCCGATTTACCAGGTTTGCCCTGATGAATCATTTTGATAAGGCGGTACAATGTGTGGAATGCGTGGGAAGTCCATGTGCCTCCGCGTGCATGTATATAAGGGGGCTTACATTCGGCGCAGAGACTACAGGCCAACATTAATAATAATAATAATAATAATAATAATAATAATAATAATAATACGAACAGAGGTGGAAGGAAACAAATAGACAAACAAACAAGCAGGAAAACATACCACAATATGGGTTTTTTTTTTTCAAAGTAAGGACATTTTTAAAATATAAAATTACATATGTTGAAAAATAATCAGGTCAGGATTTCCGGTTACCCACAAAGACCTCGTCTAGCCATGCCGAAGATTAAAAAAATGCACATTCATTTATTTATTTTTATTTTTATTTTCATATAATTTAGCTTCTTATTTTAAAGCTTAAATATTGTTTTTCTTCACTGTCAACTTAATCTTCATACACTAAAAACTTTTAATTCTTCAACCCCAATAAACATGCAAGTAAAACATTTCAGTAAAATACAACTTAAATATATGAAATTAAAGGTTTATTTACTCAAATAATTAATCGTGAGGGAAAACGTGCATTGTATGAACTAAATGTAAACCAATCAAGCAAATTACATTTGCATACTGTATTGAAAAAAAAACATGGAAAATGTACATGTAAGTAAATTAGTTAAAGTCCATATTTTAATTATATACATCACAGGAACATTAGAACATGTAGAAAACATAGCTGTAGAAATAGGCTGCTTCCCTTCAGTGGCAGCTATGGCTCTGACCAGATAATACTCTTCAGTATCATCATTATGGCAAGTATAACGAATTTTTTATTCTCTTAAGCTGTTTAATATACATTTGTAGTCCTTCAGACTACATAGGTTTTTCTCCTATTTTGTCTTTTTCTTTTTTAGTTTCTTACAAAACAAAATTGAATATGGTTCTCCTTTGTAACTCTTTGTGTTGTGAGCTTGATTAACCAGGAAAACACGTGATAAAAATCCTGAAATACCACTCCAGTGCTCTTTATCATTTATAGTCTGCTCTGATGTAAGACCAATAGGGACATAGGTCAAGCAAAAGCAAAGTAGCTTTGCTCCCCGCTATGTCATGGCTCAAAACGTCCATATGAGGGCAGCAAAAAGCTGAATAATAGCAGATAACTTTCCTGGTTTGGAGTCTTTCAAGTTCAGTCATACAACTGACCTGTCGTTAACAAGATGCACACAGTTTATTTGTCATCATCATTCTCACTGTTAGCTTTTTATTCTTTCCATCTTCTATTGACACTGTGCCTTATGCTATATATTGCACTTATCAAGTCCGTGCATGAGGTCCTCTATATAAAACGATCATAAAAGATTCATGTCACTATCAAGATAATCATTCTCAGCTACAGTGCCTATCAGCTGTTAGCGGGAAGCTGGCTGATGTTAATGGAAATGGCCTGATCATTAAGGAAATTGCAACATAAACATGAAAACATATCATCCAACGCTTGAAATACATTGATGGCGACCACAATGCAAGCCAGCTTGCCTGAAAATAAATAAATGTGGTTAAAGCACTTATGAGGGTACGACTTAATGTACAAAGTAAAGTTTGACCTTGATAAACCCTGAACATTTCCATTACTGTATAGTTATAATTCCATATATAGAGATTTAGTTTAAATCTGTTTAACCTTAAGATGCCTGTTTCCTTTTTTGATCTATTCAAAAATCACCACTCCAAAAAGAGAGCTGGTATAGGGAATGTTTTACCCTTAACAGTCAGCATCGTAAGTTATATATTTAGTTTAAATTTAAGCCAACCACACTCCCTAAATGCAAAATAGATAGCAATGCATTGTTGTTTTGTTGTCTGTCCCACTTTGTCTTCTCTTTTTTGACAATGTGTTAGACACCATGCAACTAAATTGCACTAAGATGTGAGTGTAGAGAGAGGGCGCGGATGTAGTTTCTGTCATTTCTCCTCCAGTAACCTCATTCATTCCCATAACTAGTTCTTGAAGTAACCGATGAAACAAATCGTTCCATTTGAACAGTAGCCCTAAACTAAATATTTGTAAATTGATCACAACATTTGGCAAAGACAAGCAGAAACTCTTTTGCACTGGAGAAGCTGGAACCATAGAAGGTTTTCTGTTTTTGGTTTAGTTTTTAAAGTAGTTGCTGAGTGTGACAATAAACTAGTTGATTAATGGATTAACCATTTCAGTGTTGTTGTTAACAATATTGCTTCACGGAAGGAACCTCTGAGTTTGAATCCAGCACACAGCTGGGGCCTTTCTTTGTGGAGTTTGTAGGTTTTCCTGTCGTTGCATGGGTTCTCTGTGGGTACACAGTTCCACAATCTGAAGTCATGCATCTTATGTTAACTGGTGATTCTAAACTGGCTTTAGGTGTGAATGTGAGCTGTCTGTTTCTGTGTCTTAGCGAGTGATAGCAGCTTCACCAAGTTGTATGTCGTCTTTTGGTGTATATTAGGTGGGATAGGCTCCAGGGCCCCTTAGACCCCAAACTGGATAAGAAGAAAGTGGATGGATGTGTGTTTGCGGCGGGGTGTAGTTTGCAGATCAGCTGCAGTGGGGGGGGTGGTGGTGGAGTAAAGGGTTCAGGAAATGGCGTTAGGGGAGGTTGACCAACACAGCTAGCCTTCCCTATTTCAGTAGGTTGCTGAGACTTGACAGGAGTTGTTGTGTGTGGTGTGGAGCAACAAAGGCAACTGGAAGGCTGCTCTAATAAAAGCCCTGCAAATAAATATCAGCTGACTTGTAAGGCTGTGTTCTTCGGGTCCTTTTGTTGTTGTTTGTTGTTTTATTATCTCATATGTGATGATGCTGTTATGATGATGTTTTATGTTGTATTGCTTCTTCTTGATTTTTGCTATCTCGTCTATCTCGAATGTCTTATTATTTTGGTTCATTCTCAGATTTAGTCCCATCACATTGCCGAAATCAAGCTTTAAAGTGCCCCAAAGTCATATATCCTTTATCGGGACAACTTAAAATGGAGGCAGCCGTAGTTCAAACATTTCCGTCAGTCTTCATCTATCAGAGGTCCAGCAGGTTCAGCTCCAGGTCTAGAGTATATATGCTCCCTGCCTCTACAGGTCTTTGTCTCAACTCTTGTACCTCTATAATGGCCTGTACTTGACAAACACAGCGGTGTAACTTTTACCTTTTCCTGAAACCCAGTAGGAAAACAAGCGTATAGCGTGTTTGCACTGCTTTGCACTCAAGCTATAAAACTAATGCAGATCAGCAGTGAGAGAAACTACTTGTTAGCTGCTGACAGGCTGAAGAGACTCAGTATTGTTGAGGCAGAATATTTTGGAATCCCACTTGTTAAGAGCTGCTCCACTCTGTGGGGGTAAACAAGGACTGCTGCCATATATAGAGCAGTAGACATCCCGTTGTGGACTCTCTCCAGCACTGCATTGTAAAAAGATGCTAAAATTATACATCTCATGCTGATAAAGAATTGTGTGTGCATGAGTGTTTACATAC